TTTTTTTAACTGAAGACGATTCGCCCTGAGCTAACATCTGTGCCAATCTTCCTCTATTTTGTATGTGTGTTGCCACCACAGCATAGCCGACGAGTGGTGTAGGTCTGTGCCTGGGAACTGAACCTGGGCCGTAGAAGGAGAGTACACCAAACTTAACAACTAGGCCACAGGGCTGGCCCCCTGTAAATTCATTTTAAAGTTGGAATTGGAATAAAATCATTCTCATTCAAATTAGAGATCAACCATGGGTTGTCATATTTTTTTAACTCTACAGTGATTTTCAATTCAGTAGGTAAATCTGAAACAAGCAATATTTCAACCTCTGCATAATTGCTCTAAATTACATGTACTTTTAAACTGATACAACTTGATTTTTAACTTAAAAAGAACTCACAACATAAAAAAACTGAGTTTAATTTGAAGAAAAAGACTTCTAAAACAATGTCTACATTTAGCTCTACACAGTTTATTCCGTTAACCCGTTACCACCCTATGCCAAATATTTGGAAAGGATGCCTTGCAAAAAAAAGGAGGTGCTACAAAGTCCTACTAGTTACCCACTTATTCCACCCTGTAAAAATGCCAAAATCCCTTCTGTGAAAAAAGCCACACCCCTCTGCCAGTTCAGACAGAAGTTCCCAGGCCCATAAGAAGTACAGAGCTCATGGCAGCCTTGGGGGCCCTGGGACTCTTCCCTGTGCACAAGCTAGAGGTGAAGGTCAGACGCCCAGCCTCCACTCCACCACCTTTCTTACTCATCTCTTCCACAAGGCTCACTCTACCCCACAAAAAGTCTGAACTCTGCTCCCTCCTGAAAGGTCAACTTATTTCCATGTTTAACACCTCAACACAAATGATTTTGGCTGAATGGAAATAAGAGAATTTTCTTTAAAAACTCCAAAATCCTCAGAATAAAGATATAATATCCAAGGGCCGGCCCTGTGGCTTGGTGGTTAAGTGCGCGCGCTGCTATGCTGGCGGCCCGGGTTCGGATCCCGGGTGCGCATCGAGGCACCGCTTCTCCGTTCATCCTGGGGCCGAGTCCCACATACAGCAACTAGAAGGATGTGCAGCTACGACACACAACTATCCACTGGGGCTTTGGGGGGAAAAAATAAAATAAATAAAATCTTTAAAAAAAAAAAAAAAAGATATAATATCCTTTGTTGGGGATATTATAAGTAATAAACAACAAACCGCCAGGTTAAAACACAATTTTCAGGATTCCACCATCAATTTTATGTAGTCTACAATATACATACACATAAATAACGTTTTGGTTTGAAAATAACATTCTTTGAAATGCTCCCATCAAGGCTGAAGGAACTAGCTGGTGCAGCTTTGCAGCTATCTAGGCAACAGCACAGCACACAGGGACAACAATCAAGGAATTAAGAAAACCAACAGCTCTTAGCATCTCCAACAACCAAAAGCAGTTAAAAATCCCAGACTGTGGACAAAGGCTCTACTTTGGTCTAGAAATGGTCCAGCAATGGTCTAGAAAGGAGTCTCTGAGGAATAATTAGCATTTCCTAGGGAGCAAGTTTGTTTTTCAAGCCAATTAAATGATGATAACTCCATAAAACCATAGAACCAAGTTGAACTGTTTCGTAGCAGAATTGACAGTTCCCCATTATGCTCACCTAATTAACACTCTATATGACCTTATAGTAATTTCTAAATAATCAACTGACTTTTAAAAAAAGTTACAAGTATCCAGTTTTCCCAAAATTTTAAGTTTCAGAGCACAGATTTAAAAATTCATCACGCTTGAAGAGTTTTCAACTTTTAGGCTACCGAAAACACAATGGGGGAAAAACTCCTTGTAGCTTAAAAAATGCACTCTTGAAATAATTCACTACTGAAAACGTGTACAACAAAAAGGAAGTAACAGACATCCCATCATCAGATTTTAGTTTTGAATAGTTCCAATCAGAGTTTAACATTTCTGTTCAATACTACCTACATACTAGTTATGAAGATTATATGCAAACTCCCAAAACGCACAGAAAACCTGGGCCCATGTGCACAGCTGCCTAAGCCTCTAGCTTTGGGAATGTGAGAGTTGGGGGGTCACAGACAGGGATCCTGGCGGTAGGTCAAGTGGATGAGGCCTGGAGACCGGGGTCAGTGGATTGGGATCTGGCCAGGACGATGGGTCAGGGTCGGGTCGGAGGAACGAGGCCAGGAGTGGGAAGGATGGACAAGACCAGGGTTCAAAGTCCGGCTGGGGTACCGAATCTGCGTCCTGATCTGTGTCCTACTTGTGGGCAAGACCAAAACTGGGAGTCACGGGTCGGGGGCTGGGTTCTGCTTGAGGGTCAGAGATCATGGCGAGGGCCTGAGCGTTCGTGGATGGGGGTCTGGCTCCTGGCAGCAGATCAGGGGGTGGTGGTCAGCATCTGGATCTGATTCCTGGTAGCCGGCCCCGGCCCTGGTCCTCCGGGTCGTGGGTCGAGATCGGGTCCGGGTCCGGGTCCGGGATGAGGGTTGGGATCAGGGTCTGGGTAGGTCGGGGGTAGTGAGTCAGGGTCTGAGCCTCGGTTCTGGTTAGGGGTCGTGGTCCTGATCCTAATCTGGGGTCGGGGTCGCGGTCGGGGGTCTGGGTCCGGGTTCCGGGCGCGGGTCAGTGTCGGGATCGGGGTTCTGGTCCCGCCGGCCAGGCCGCAGCCCCCGCCCGCCCGGCCCCACTCACACGCGCGGCAGCTGCAGCGGAGGCGCCCCGCGCCTCTGGAACACGCCGTCCACGAACACCCCGTTCTTGCCGAGGCAGCGCAGGTAGAAGTCGCCGCCGGCGTCGGGCCCGGGCTGCGCCGACTCGGGGGCCACCCCACCATGGCCGCCGCCCGGGGGCGTGAAGATCTCGAGGTGGCGCCGCGAGATGAAGCTCGAGTGGCCCATGCTTACGTCCACCGAGCCCTGCGACGAGTTGCGCCCGATGGTCACCGAGCGCTTCTTCATCAAGTACTCGAACTCGCGGCCCTCGAGGCGCGCCACGGCCCAGCCACCCGCCGGGGACCCACCGCCCGCGCCCCCGCC